TGACTCACCCCCCACTAAAGCTTCTGTGTGTGTGTGCTTTGCTGTGACCAGTACCAGGGCCCATCTCCTCATCACCCACATATGCGCATGCACATATAGGATGGCAGAGCGAGTTTTCTAGCTCCCCCCACCCCACTGTCTCTCCACCTTCACCCCACAAATACTCTACTTATAAAACATAAAAGCAACTTTTCTACTTGAATGAGACCCCAGGTACTGTCAAAGTTTGTTGTTACGCATTTTAAAGAAGTATAATATTAAATAACTCTCCTCCAAAATTCATGTCACAATTTCAGATCTCTGGCCCCAAACTGTGCAACTCAGAGTCTAGCTTTTCAGTGGACTTATAAAAGACACAGCCTCTTCCCAACTTCATTAATTATGCAGTGTTAGAAACCCTCCTAACTCAGTTGGGTAAGGTACTACTACATTTTATTTTATTTTTTTATTTTAAAGAGACCACAAATAAATAAAAAGGATGCAGAATTTCAAACCAAGATGATAGGAGATGAACAATGGTTACCCTATTGCACACTGTTATCTTCAAAGTAGTTGTTCAGATTACCAGGTACAGTAATGCAAAGTTGATCAAAGGATATAAGCACTCTCTGTTCCTTTCAATGAGCTAACAGAAACTAGTAGCACAATTGTCTTAGCTTCTTGTGTATATGTACATAGCTTTTTTCCCTTCTTTTTTTCCTCTTTGTTCCCCTTCCCAGTTCTTTCCTTTGAAGGGTTTCTTTCCCTTTAAAAGATAATAGGAGAATAAACTCACAACACCTTTAAGCCAAATTTTGTGTATAATAACAAATAAATCTTCCATTTGTCTTAACCACCAGATCGGTTTTTCAATTCTGATATGTAAATTACATGAGACACTTAAAAGACATGCTCATATTATATTTTTCTTCTAGCCATAAATAAAAATATATTTTACCTGTACCATTACTTGGTGACAGTACATCTGAGAAAAAGTTATTTTAATATTGACCTGAAGACAGCTTTTTGAAATTGTATTATTAGACATATATAAAGACAAATGAAGCGTTCAATATTTTTTAAAAGATATGGATGAGCCATAACTTACCCCTTACAGAGAACGTCTGCTGCTGAAGTACTAGGAGATACCTCATGGTTATTTATTTATTTTATTATTTTTTGTTGTTGTTGCAGTGCTGGGGATTGAACTCAGGACCTTATGCTTGCCAGGCAAGCACTTATACTACTGAGCTGTCTCCCCGGCACTTCATGGTCATTTAAATGAGACATTCTGGAGATAATTTGACAGAAACAAGTTGGGACAGGTTTTTTTTTTGTTTGTTTGTTTTTGAGAATTACATATCTCTGTCACTAGAATCATAGTTGTCTGTATACTTTACAAGAATATTCATCAAATAAATTATTTTAGTGTATCTCCTGACTGTCTTTTACAAAACTTGGAAATGAAAGAAAGAATTAAGTGTTTTAAAAACTATAAAGTGCTTTTGAATTCTGATAGATTCAAATCCAGGGTAATGCATATAAAAAATTATTTGCTTTATTTCCATGAGTTAATTCCATCTTGCCTTGCTTGAGATGACTTTGTTCTTGGAAAAGGAACTTCGTGGCCAAGTCAAGGAATGACAAATAGTAAAACACAGGAAAAGACTGCCACTTGACATAGGGTCAGCTTTCAGTTTGGGTGAAGGACATTGCCTTGGATGTATGTTACAAATGCAGCATCTTCAGCAAGATCGTGTGCTGAAGCAGACCTGTGACCGTAGTGGCCACCTTCCCACTTCTGGGACACGATAGCTGACATGCACAGCTTAAAGGAGGGAAGCTGCCTTTGGCTTACATGTCACATTGCTGCTGCCTCCAAGTCAGGAATATTCTGGGAGGAGGGCAAGTTGGAGCAGAACCATGTCATTCGTGGAAGCTATGAAGCAGAACAAAGGAACAGAGCAGAAGAGGAAGGGGTAAGGGACAGACATGGGCGCCAGGGTTGTGCCCCAGAAGGGAGATGGGTGCCCTCAGGTGGCTCCCCAGCCCACCAGGCTGGTGCTCTACCCTACCTACCACAATAGTTTTTTGCTTCTCAAATCAAGTATGGTACATGGCCAACCTCTTCTCTTTTATAATATAGCTCCATCCCTGAACAATGATATTTAAATTATGTGTTGCTTCTTAGGTACCATTGAGGTATCGTGAGGATCAGCCAGTGAATCCAAGGGAATTGTCTGTGGTTTTTGAACCAAAGTACTAACACAACACACACTGCTCAGTTCCACTGATCTGCTCATTACTTACAAGAATGTTTGGCACCCAACGAACTCATAAGATGGTGTGTGAGTATATGAGTGTGAGTGTGTGTGTGTGTGTGTGTGTGTGTGTGTGTGCTCAAAATGCTAACATGTTTCCCCCTGGATTTCATATTCATGCTTTCTAGAAACTGAACTATCTGCAAGCGTCTTTCAGCTGCTCTATGAGAGAGAGGTTGCTTTTTCAAAATAAGTATATAAGAAAAGTTACAAACTTATAGCGGAGTCCAAGAAGCAAGGTCAGCATGACAAGATGATGAAGAAATGTAGACGGCTGCCCCGGGCATCCTTTTAGAACTATGTTATTTAGTTTTGACCTTTCTTTTCTCTCCCAATCTTCATCTTTTATTCTGTCATTTTTCTAGAGACTTAATTTCTCTCTATTTGTAGGCTGTTCAGTAAGAGTAGAACAGTGCTATCATAAAGGATATGATAGCACTGTTCGAACAGTGCTTCTTCTAACCAAGCTGGGCCTCAATCTTCCTATCTGCAAAATGGGCATTTACCACCTATGTTGCAACACCGTTGTAAAAATGAGTGAAACTTTACTTAAAATGCACATACCATAATGTTCTCCTTACTTGTACATGATTACATATATGGATATATGATTCCATATACAACAAACATGATGGCATTTTTCCATGAATTATTTTACAATGCCCTTTTATGTTGGCACCTTTCCCCTCTCTCAGTCCCCACTGATTCAGTTTAATGCCCCAACTCTTCTGACTTCAAAACATTTCCCCCCTAACTTTCACTTTTACCTCTTCAAAGGCCTCAGTCCCTTACAGATCTGTCACAGTGGCTCAAGGCGTCATCCTAGCTACTAATTCTCTTGAGTCTTCACATTTTCCTAACTGCACAGTAAAGCAAAAGGCATTGGGAAAAGTCCTTACTCTTATTAAGCATTGCCATAGCTAATATTAATTGCATGCTAAGTACATTCTCTGCCCTGGACATTACTAACTTGATCCCCAACACCCCATGTATATACTACGGACTTCTTTTACAGAAGGGGAGATCAAGAGAATGAGGGACGTAGTAACTTGCATAATTTACATGCTCAGAAAGTGCCGGGGCTGGAATTGCGACACAAGCTTCCATCAGATCAGAATAAAACCCATTTCTTTCCCGTGTTGCACAGCGGCTCTAGGAACTGCCTCCTGCCTCCTTATCGAACGCTATCCTTGCATTTCCTGATATACGTGGCATTTTCTAGAATCTTGAGGCTACTCATTGTAGCTGCTCAGCTGCGGTGTTCTTTCTTACTAGGTCATTCTGCCCCTCGGCTTCATCTGCATTTGGTCTCCCCTTCTGGTACACTGGTTTTCTTGCCACCTCCCTAACCCAGGCTCCCTCTCCCTGTAGGCCATTTTTCTGGTTTGCCCTCAGAAGCGATCTTCTGGTTGACACCCACCTCTGCCATTCATTGGCTCTCACACCCTATGAGCTTTCTGCACTTCAGCTGCTTCCTGTATAAAATGATCACACAACCTGATGTCCAACCTTCCTAGTCTGCGATTCTGAGAATAATGACTGTGAATAACAGGTGACCCTTGTCAAATATAATTCTGGAACTAATGGATTGCAAAACATCTGCTTCTTTTGAAGTGTGCATTTTTACTTTTTGCTGCTTCTGTTTTCTACCCTTTCTCGGCACTCCCTGATGGCCCCTAGAAAACTGGGTCTCACGCTGAGCAGGACTCTAGTGTGGACACTGTCTGCATGTCCCTTGCACTCCTGGGTGTTTCATGAATGTTGCTTTAGGCCACGTGGGCCCTTTTCAGATAGTTTCAAGTGAGTAGACAACTCAGGTGCACTGTCTCCGTGAGGGTCACATCCAGGAAACTCGCTGTGCATAACTCTTCTCTTGACTAAAAAGTATTGGATAGCTAGTTCACGTAATCACCTACAGGGATGTGGCAAAGCCTTCTTTCTAGTGATTTATGCTTTAAAAAAATACTGAGACAGTACCCTGCGCTTTGGCTTCTTGTCTTCCTCCAAGCAGAATGCTGCATGACTAATCCGGCCTTTCCCGGGGCCTTCAAGACACGTCCTGCTGACACCTTGCTCCCGTATCCCAGGCACGGGGTGGAGACTGCTTTAGCAACAGCACACCCAGGGTAACATTGCCCCGTAACTACACTGGCTGGGACATGAGTCAGTTGAAAAGTTTCACGGAGTTTTTATTAGTATCTGATGTAGTCCCGTGTCATCCGCGGTTTCTGGGCTATGTAAGAGCCTTACACACGATGGTGTGGAACGCTTGATGCTGCTCACCTTCAAGTGGTACATGGGCCAGGGTCCCTTCAGAAAAGCCACCGCAGCAGCTGGCTCCTTCCAGCTGCACCCTTCACTAATACCTACACTATAAGGCCAAGAGCAAAACTCAGGCCCCATTGCTGGGACTGTCTTTCTCCGAGTGCGTATCCTGCGTGCCTAAAGAGCAGCAGTGGCCTTGGCAGATGCTTGAGGAGCTGCCTTCTGTCCTTCCTCAGGGAGCCGGACGATGGTTGCATCCCTGAAGATATGCTTTTAAGCCAGTGTTTGGGAAGGACCCGAGCAGAGGAATGAGGGCGGAACTACTATAATTCTCTATGGGGATTTGTGCAAGAGGAGCTTGCCATTGAATACTGACCAAAAGGCCTTGCGGAGTTGTTGGCAACTTCTAACACAGGATTTGGTTTTTTTTTTCAGACATGGAGACGACTTGATTGTGACGCCATTTGCTCAGGTAAGCGACGCTGGGCCAGTGGGCGGGCTTCTCACAGGGAGGGCAGTTTAACTTGAGGTTGTGTTGCAGTGTTTACTTTTAAATCAAATACAAGTAAAAATGCAAATCGTGTGGTTCTAGTAATTCAAAGGCACTGCTAGATAATATGATTTGGAACTTCATAGCCCTATTTTCTATAGTGCAATAGACCCAGAGTGTGCCTTTGCTTCCAATGGCAAGTTACCCAAGAGACATAGGAATTAAATGGGTCCACATTTGGTAGGGGAGATAGCTCCACAGTCTAAGTGCCTGTCTGGCAAGCACAAGGACCCGGGTTCTATCCCCAGTACCACATGCCGGGCCAGCCCCACGCAGTGCCTGCCACTGAAACTGGGCATGGCGATGCACGCCTGTAATCCCAGAGCTGGGGAGGCTGAAACAGGAAGATCATGATGAGTCTGAGCTGTGGGATCATTATGAGTCTGAGCTGCATAGAGATCCTGTACTGAATCAATCAATCAATCAATTAATTAAAACATTTTAATGGTTCCACATTACCTTAACTGACATAAACACAAGAGGCAGGAGGCTACAGCATGGATTAAATTACATTTAGTATAATTAGGTACATGATCAGTGCTTGAAATTCAATAATCCAATTCAACCTGATACCTTACCTGATACTCCTTCATATGTGTGTTCTTTGCACAGAGATTTAGCTGAGTGGCATGTTTATGTTTATGCCTTTTAGGCCTGCATACTGCAAAATGTTTTAATCACAGAAAGTAGAAACAAAAAGGTCACAAAATGACCTAAGGGGTTTTCAGACATATGTCCGTGTGTGAGTGACGGGTGTTCTTGGGCTAGAGTAGTATGTGTTTCAATTCTAGCTACACGTAAGATTCACCTGCGGTGCTCTTCTCAGAGTGTCAAGCCTTCCCCTGATCAATTAAACCAAAGCTCAGGGGTTGGATCCAAGGCCTCAGTCCTTTGGCAGTGTGTGCCGTGTAGAAGTGGAAAAGCCCCTGGAACTGACAGTTGGGTACAGAATGGAATCAGCCTCATTAAACCTGGGGAACAATCCAGTCTTAAAGTCAATACTGACTGATTTTAAACAGGTACATATTGACAATAAAACAATCCTGAGAAGTTACAAGAATTACAGTCAGAGGTTGGGGAGATGGCTCAGTAGAATAAGTGCTTACCTGGCAAGTGCAACGGTCTGAGTTCAATTCCCAGTTCTGAAAAAAAAAAAAAAAAAACAATTACAGTCAGAGTTGTGTCACAAATAGACATGACACCTTGGGAAACTCATGACTTTGAACTTTTCCAGGCCTGGTTTTCTCCTCTGTTAAGTGACTTTTCCCATTGTTACAAGCCTTGTGACGCTGTTACAAAGTAGAAATGATGCCAGCTCGGAAATGTTTAGGACAGTTTCTAGCAAACATAATATTTAACTAATTTTAATTACTTTAGATTTAAGCATGCAAATTTCACCTCTAAGTTGTCATCATAGATATTGTTCTTCAAGTGAATGATAGCAGTATTTAGGTAGCAAGATTATGTGCCTTTTTACCACTTCTAAATTTCTTTGAAAATTTTTCTGTGGCTCTAATGAAGACCAAAATTTTAATCAATCCTGAAGCAATGTAAAGCCAACAGTGATTTTCTACATTAAGGCAGGAAACTAAAATAAACTGCTTGCCCTTCCTTTCTGATGGCTGATATCTTGACAGCTTAAGACACCGCTGAAGATCATAATGTCTTGCTATGTCTTAATGCCCAAAGGAGTACGTATTTTAATCATATTTTGTGATAGCAAAAAGTTATAAAACTAAGTATTTTTATTTGACTACACTTGAGAACTTATCATTTCCTAAGAGCAGAGAGCTACATGGACGGAAAAACATTAGGCAAATTAATATTAATAGGGCTGAGGAGATAGCTCAGTGGCATGACCACTCATCTGGTAAGTGCAAGGTCATGAGTTCAATCTCTGGTACTGCAAAATAAATAAATGAATAAATAATGATATTCATAATCATCACGATATGTAGAACCGTCATTCCAATTTAAATTTATTCAGCTAGCTATTTTTTACTTCTAAAATCTTAACACACTATAAAACATATGCCTAAAAAGATAATAAAAATTTTAAAAAACTTCTGTATATGATAGAAGATGTCAGTAATGATTAAATATCTTGTTCTTTTGGGGGAAGATACAATAGTCATTGCTCCAAAGGTTGAAGATTTTTTTTTTGTAAAGTAGCTTCATTACAGTTTTCACAAATGGACTTTGATGTGCATAGAAGATCGGATAGTTTTTACTGGAATATAGAAAAAATAAATAGGTATGAAATACTGAGCAGCACCACCACCAGTAGAAAATCCTTGGGGAAGCAGTCAAGCTGGAAACCCTTGGAGTCTTTCTGCGGCCTTTCGGCCAGGCCAGTCGGAACTGCAGCGCTGACCGTAACCATCAACTCCTAATGTTTTTCCATCTACAAACCAAAGAATTAACCACTTAATTCTAAATATTATACCACTAAAAGCACAATGTGTCACTGGAAGCCATACCAACATTACTTGATCGGATGTACAAAAATTACTTGTGCCACTGTACAAAAATTCTACTGATTTTAGCAATACACTTAGAACAAAAGTTTAGCAAATAAGCCAAAAGACTAAGCCCTTCTCCAATTATGCTTTAGACTTCAGAACTTCATAGTCATTTTGGAGAGAAAGCATATTGTTCTCAGAATAATACCTTCTTGCATAAAGTTTAGAAAAAATAACAATAAGCTGGAGGAAGAAAATTTCCCATAATTCCAAACCCCCAAGTTAGCTACTGTTGACCTTTACTTTATATGCAATTAGGCTTCTGTTTTATGCATTATTATCTTTCTCATGACTCATCCATTGTCTAAAGAGGTAAAAGATCTTCTCCCAACCCAGCAGTGTCATCTTTTTCCTCAGAATCCATTACTTTGTTCCTGGGTATATCTCTAAAACATCAAAGTATCTTTCCAAGTTATGCTTTCCTGTAAATCAAAGACAATAAAGTCATGAAATAGCAGAGAATGCAGGACATCATGCATGGATATGCCCCACTTTGCTTTAAATCTTCTTAGATAGACCTGAGTTTCAAAACGGACCTCATAATCCATCCCTGTTTTATTCTAATACCAAAAGCACCATCAGAGTTAAAATTTCCAGCTAGCTTCTAACCTACATTCTTTTCTACTACCAATTTTTCACGCTTTCACTTATAAGGAAATCAGAATTCCCTTGATCCCCAGAAAAACTGTCAGCTGCAATTTGTATATTTCAAAATAGATATATTCTCTGATTTCAGTTTAAAACTGTTCTCTGGTATTGATGTTGAAATCTTTTGTTGTGAACATCTCCTTAGACTCCAAGTCTGGGTTGGGGGTGGAGAGAAACCCCTACCTGGACTACGCCATGCCAGTTGTCCTTGGCCTTCCTATGAGTCCGACGCTTGGGGGCAAGAGAACTAAGGGCACACAGCACTGCTGAAATGTCAGAGCCCTTTCTCTATGGTCTGCTGCCTCTGGTCACGGCCATTTGTGATATGGATCCTCTCCAAGTCAAGTGGAGTTCTCATCTGGAAGTATGTAAGGTGAAAAGAACTGGAAGCTTTTATGAAGGAAAAGGAAACACTGAGCAAAATATAATCCTGGATCTCTGGGGAGACTCTCATATCATTCAGACTAAGGAGATGTGGCTGATTGAGAATGCGGGGTCAGAAGGACTGTGTAACTTTGCCTTTAACCAAACGACAGCACACAAGATACTTTTAGAAAACAAATGCTGTGATTATGAATGTTATAGAACATTACTACTCCATTACCACACTGGTAAGAGGATGTTACCAGCTGTTTCTACAATGTCCCTGTATGTCTTTCAGTTTTACCCAGCAACATGGATCTTACAGTGTCTTAGTTACTTTTTACTCGTTGCTGGGACAAATACCTGACACTCAAAATGAAGGAAGGAGAGGTCTATTTAGCTCACAGTTATTGGAGGGTTCAGTCCATGTTCTACTGGCTCCAAGGCAAACGACAGCAGAAAACAATGAAGAGCAGAAGAGGAGCAGTAGCTGCGGCCATCAAGCCTCTGTCTTCCTTCTACACTGACTGCGAAGACCAGCGACTGTAGCTTCTCCAAAGTGGTGCAGCTGCGGAGATCAAGCTCCTCTGAAGACTGGGACTTCCTCATGGAAGCCAGACAGGGCGGCAGGAAGCCTCCCTCAGTTCCTGGGCCCTGCCCATCTGCAGGGCTAGGTCCCCACGCTGAGAACTGCCGGAGCTGATTCAGCCAAGTTGACGCATACAACTTCATCAAAATTCTCACATTTGATGCAACCATCAGGCAATGGTAGAAGGCCGCTGTCGCATTTCAGTTGGGCAGCATGGGAAGTGCAGGAGCTGTTCTTTACCCTTCATGGATATAAACTACAATTAGCATCCTCTGATGTCTGAATTCATGTTAAATTAAAGGAGATGAAATTGTCAATAACTTGTTGACGTACAAAAACACTTTCATATGGGAAGATGTTTGCTTTTCAATCAAAATGACCTTTTTTCCTCATAAATAATTCTAACTTGAGTAAAACCCAGGCCAGGAATTCCTTTACCTCACACCAGCAACCCTCCCCAGCACGGCCCTGCGTCTCACCGCCTGTGTTTTACCCCCACCTACTGGCCCCAAGTGCATACAGCATGAGAAAAATCAGCTATTTCTCTTGAGGCTGTTAGGTATGTTCAGCTAGCATTAACTTCTCAGGGAAGCCCATACTTTTCTGCCAATGACAGTCAATTCTGTTGATTAATAAATTGAAAACATTTAAGAGTCTGATAATTGTATCTGTAAATAACATCCTGGCCCCATAGGTTGGCATGTGAGCTGTCTCTGTCCAAAACCTTCTGTATCACCACCAGGATTTCTTCCCTAAAATATGTGGATGCAGATGCAGATGTGTGCATATATATATATATATATATATATATATATATATATATATATATATATAATCATTTACAACTTCTTTTACCTTGACTGATCACACTTTTATTTGGAGATATAAAAGAGGCAGAAATGACCTCAATTTCTTTTTTATCTTCATTTATTTATTTAGTACAGGGTCTCACTACACAGCTCAGACTCACAGTGATCCCCCTGGCTCTGCCTCCCCAGTGCTGGGATTACAGGTGTGCGCCACCACGCCCAGCTTCAGGGAGGCACAGCAGCATGGCATACGGTACCAGGGATCAAATCCGGGTCCTTGCACTTGCTGGGAAGGCCCTTTAGACCACTGAGCTATCTCCCCAGCCCAGTGACCTCAATTTCTACCAGAGAGTTATGTGGAAAAATCTCAGGGACCTCTTTGGCTAGCAAAGAAGAGACCAGCGGTGGAGCCTGATGACAGCTCTTAGTGCGCTGGCTTGGTTCAGGGTCATTCAACCTTAACTCCTGGGGTGCTCGTAAAGCAGTTTCTATTTTTCCTTGACTCCTAAAGCAGCAGATACTGCCCTCCCTTTGTGCTCGGCAAGTACAAGGGAGCTTTTAAAATACAAATGCATATGATTTGTTGTTTTAGAAAACCCAGACTCCATCAGGCAGGCCAGGACAATTGCACATAAAGGACGAGCCTGAAACTGTTCTTCATATTTCTGCAAATGCCATATTTGTCACAGGGCAGAGGATCGTCATGGACGCATAATCTAAAATTTATGAAATGCTGCTTTCCTATTACAAAAATATTGAGCTAAGATTGAACACTTAAGGAATGATGGGTCTCCATGCTTACTATCACAGTATTCGTAAAAGCAAATTTAAGGGACAGTCTGGAAGTCAGGTGACTGGCGACAGTAGCTGAATGTCTGAAGGGAGGACAGGAGAGAGATTTCCTCTTTCCACTTTTCATTTCAAAATATTTCCTGTATGTGACAGAATGTATCTAGAGAGTCTGTAAACAAAAATCATAATACAATAAAGAATTTCGGAAGTAGAACAGATTTTAATGCTGCGGGTCTCCTACATCTCTCTATCCGGCTCATCTCTGAAATAAAAATCACTGTATTTTGTCTTAATTATCAAGCTAGTGACTTTTTGCTTGATAGCCTCCTTTTCTGTTTAAACTCTGCTGGGCTCGGGGAGATAACTTGCTGTATAAGCGACTGCCTGCAAGTGCAAGGTCCCAAGTTCGATCCCCAGCACCACATGCCACGTCAGTCCCCCCGGCTCCTTGGCCCCCAGACTCTGAAAACTGGGCACATCCTGCCAGCCACCAAAACTGGGTGTGGTGAGCACATTTGTAATACCAGTGCTGGGGAGGCTAAGACAGGAGGATCAATATGAATCTAAACTATGTAGTGAGATCCTGTGCCAAAAAATAAAGATTAAATTATACAAAACACTAGAACATGTATTGTTTAAAAATAGATATATAAGGTTGCATTAAAATCAAAATAGAATAATCTAGTAGCTTTGTTATTATAGTAGAAAAAATAGTTCTATGGGAAATATTAGTTTCAGAAAACTTTTTATGAATTAACTTCATTTCAAATAAGCTATGAATTGCCTACAAGCCTATTTAAGTTTACCACTGCCAAATGTAATGAACTTAAAAGCCACGTATGACATCCTCAGAATTCTGAGGCTAGCAGTTTTCTCTAGGTGAGGGATAAATTAACCGGTACTATAATCTTATTTAGAATGCTTTATTAGTGTGTTTGATATTCACTTCTTACATCATGAATTAAGCCTGGGTGATTTAATGACAGTGGCATATTTATCCAATTTGTTTTTGCATTATTCAAGATTTTATGCCTCTTAGAAGACAGTGTGGTCTGCAGTCAGCTGTTAGCCACGCGAGCCCTCCACTCCGTCACAGGCAGCATGACCTTTCGGAGTTGGGAGCTGCTTGTACGTGATGCTGACCCGGGTTTTTCCAGTGACCTAGCTAGCCGCAGTTGGCTCTTAAAGAAGCACCATCCCCTTCTTCAGGGAAGTGTAGGTCACTGTGGCAAAGAATGAACAGCTCCGTTTGACTTGCTTGGATTTATACCAATTTCCCCCTGCCACAGAGAGTGACATTTTTGTCCTAGAAAAAAATTACATAGACTAACTGTAATCTAGGTCTGTGTTAGATTAAAAAAAAAAACAGCTCTGGGAACAATTCCAGAACGCTTGGAGCAATTAGAAATTCGGGAGCTGGCTGGGTTTACCACTGACAGACAGTAAAGAAATTCTGTACACCAGGTCATTAACCAAATGAATGCTACCATAGTGTCGCTACAGTAATCTGGTGCTTCTTGCTTACCAGGTGCTGTTCTGGGCACCTAGCCCACTAGTGCCTATTACCCTCACAATGTTCTCTGACGTAGATGTCTCTCCATGGTTACGGGAGAGGAGGCTGAGGCACCACAGAGGTTCTGTAACTTACCTAATTTTACACATTTAATATGTAGCAGAACAGGGCAGAGCGGCTTGGTATATGGTACCTACCAGGACATTTGATTTCTGCACCTTAGATAAACTTAGAGTGGCAGCTGGCACCAAGATTGCTAACGCCGCTACCCAGTGTGAGCTATACTTGGGGAAACATGGTCTTTCTAGGAGGTGAGGGGCAGCAGGTTCTTATAACTTTTCTCCGTCTCATGTTCCTTTCCAGTTCCAACTGGAATTTTTAACCGTAAGGGGCTCCTGAGGTGGTGACATCTAAGTGTCTTGTCACAGGGGTGGATGATTTGTATCTACGTATTCACTTATTCAAAAACATTTTATGAGTATCTTCTGTGGGCCTGACACAGTGCACAGAACAGTAGCATTTTATGTAGAAAACAGCACCCTGGTGACATTCTACCACCCACAGTTTAGATAACTTTGGCAAAGGTGAATACCCGTGAGCTAGCTTGAGACACCACGTGGCAACAAAACAAAACATAAGGTTTACAGAGCTTTTTGGCTTGAAATTCTGGGACTCTTGGTGAATTTTTGAAGACAACTTGAGAGTGATCTTATTTTAAATTTGGGAGTGATTACCGGGCATGGTCTTATTTCCAATTTTAATTTTTTTATTGCTACCTGACATCATATTATTTTCCATTTGTAACATCCCACATGTACATTGCCTAGGACATTGTTTTTATCGCTAAAAATTCTAGAAATGCTTTGGAAGCTGCCGTGACTATTAATATATTTGTAACTAGTGAGGAAGATTGCTGGAAAATTTGTGTAGTCTGACCGCCATAGATTTCATATGGGTACACACTTCACTGAGTGCGGGGAGATTCCTTATTGGCAGAGAAAAGTAATTGTAAGACATCGTGTTTTCTCCTTGAGAACCTCGTGATAGCATTTAAAACGCCACCCATCCAAGGAAGGACTCTAAAGCATTCCTCCATTCCAGGTCTTGGCCAGCCTGCGAACTGTACGAAACAACTTTGCTGCACTGACTAACTTACAAGACCGAGCACCAAGCAAGTAAGTGGTACCTTTATCTCTTCGTCTGTTTTCCTTCTCCTCAAACCTTTACGTGTCCATCCTCCTCCATTTAGAGGCGACGCACGGCAGTGTGTTAGGCTTCTGTGAATCACTCCCATGTGGCTAACCGTGCATTCTAAATCATGAGATGCCCCGTTAATTTTCTATAAATACTCTGAAGTGACAGTTGTAATGTCAGAAATAAAACAGTATGATAAATAAACATGGTGACCCCATCTGTTAAGGGACCAGCTGGCATGGTCAGTTTTCTGCCCAGTTACGTACTTACACTCAGGGTAACTTTAGAGGTCTGGCTCACCTCCAGAGTTAACCACAGACAAATCATCCTGTCAAGACTTAAAGTCGACTCAGAGTCACCTTCTTAAGTCTACGATGAGAATTAATTGTCATCTGCTTTTACTGCCCCTCAGATCAGCAACATTCACTGAACGTTAAGAAACCCGTGATTGAGGGCCTGGAATGTGGCTCAGCGGCACAGCGCCAGCCCGGCAAGCACAAGGTCATGAGTTGGATTCCCAGACCAAAAAATCTGGAAGCTGCAATGGATAGGTTAGCCATGGAAACATTTGAAAGAGGAAAAGCTGAGATAAAAAGTGATTATAATTTGAAAGTCCTGATAAACGCCCCCAAATTTTTTTTAACTAATCTGTAACATTAAGTGAACTACTAAGCTCTTACTCAAATTTCCCTTATTTTAAAAAACTATTGCTAATAAAATATTACAAATGACCTCAAAAACCTTTCAGAACATAAAACTTTAAATCAGTATTAAGAGGAAAATACATCGAAGCTTAACATGGATTATAAGTGTACAAAATTTTACAGTATTTGTTTTTGTTTTTGCACCTGAAATCGAACTTAGGACCTTGCGCTTGCCCGGCAGGTGTTGTGCTGCTGAGCTATATCCTTGGCCCTATGTTTCTTAAACAGTATGAAAAATCTGACCTTTCCATTCTATAATAATATAATTTACCTCCTAAATGCATAGTTCATGACTAATGAAAGAGCTGGCCTTTATGCAAGTACCACTTGTGCTAGAACACGGCTTTCAAAAAACAGGATAAATGCCATAATACAAATAATTAGAATTGAACCTAGAACCCCAGCCACGTATTATATTTTCCAGGTAATAATTTTTTTATAGTTCTTTCCCCCAGCCTACACAGTCTTCAGCTGTGCTTTCCTTCACTCATCTATTAGGGTGACAGCAATTTATTCTTAGGGTGCAGCTTAATCACTGCAGCATCGTCCCTGGAATTAGCTGACCCAGGTACACCCACAAGTCTGGACTAGCTACTGTGCCTCTCTTTCTCCATCTGGTCGCATCCTGCGCTGTCTGTCCTAATTCTCGCCTCTCTGGTATCTCTCTCGTTCTGCCTATCTGTTAGCCTGACCCTTCCAATGCTGGCTCCAGGTGAGCAGGAGATGTAGCTGGTCCCCATCCATGTTCCAGAGCCCGTCGTGATGCAGAGTGACTGCTCTGTAAAGGCTGGTTGGCTGGAAGTGTGAAGTGGTAACTCAGCATTTGAAACCTGAGGGTGTGCTTCGAGGAATCCGGCCTTTGCCAGTCATGTTTGCGGTGCCATGTGGACAGCTGCACAATGTCCTGCTGACTTCAGTAGCCCCTTGGGGCTGTTGACATTTAATAGCTTGTAGGTGACATGACCTTGCCTCAGGAGAGTCTCAGATCTGTAAGAAAAATGAAGTTGTTGGTTGTGGCGCTCATACTTTTTGTTTCAAATGTCATGTAAAACATCAAGGTTTTATCTTTTAAAACAAATTAGAAACTATATCCCTTTAAGCTTCTTTTGAATATGGTCACCTAGGTGCCAGCATCCAAATGGGTAGGAAACAGATAATCCTACAGGTATGAAGAAACCACACTGCTGGGAGGCCTATTCCACACAAGGCAGAAGTCCCCAACCGATTTATAGGAACAAACAGATTAAAATAGAAAAAGGACAGGAACTCACACCTAAGGGATGAGCTTATGCTTTCTTGGACCAGCTCCACAATGGGCATGTGACAGCTAATCAGTTAGTATGATCGGCTACAATCAAAGTGGAGGCTAGTGTAGTCTCCCTTGTGGTCAGTGCGGATTTGAACCTATCTCCTTGACTAATTCCAACCAGCCTAGGTCCAGGGGTATCAGAGCAGGAGGATTCATTCTCCGCAAGGCCAGCCTGGGCGATAGCCTGTGACAGGAAGGAGGACATGCCTCTGGCACCGTGCTTGATGACTCTGGAGGCATCAGAGTCCGAGTGCCCGGAGCTCGTGCTACCATTCAAACCCTTCCAGGCGCACCGCTGGAGTTGCAGAAAGCGGTGCGGTGCCCCTGGAAGCACTGTCCTTTATTTTCTAGGAACGGAGTCAAAGTTCAACCTCTTGGTGATATATTAGTTTTTCAATTGCTGGCACGGAACACCTGGAACCCACTAATTAAATGAGGAGAAGTTGGTGGGGGGCGCTCATGGTTCTAGACATTTCAGAGCACAATTTGCTGTTGCCTGAACAGGAGCATGGGGTGGAAGGGGAGTGGGAGTGGAGCAGAGCTACTGACTTTATGGTCAGAAGCAGGGGAGGGGGAAGCGCACCAGGGAGAGACGCAAGCACCTTCCTGAAGAACAGCGTCAGTGACTCAGCAAGTTCCGGAGTCTCAGCGGCACCTGCTCATGTGCACATCCATGCTAGATACCCGGATGCATATAGCATTTCCCCCCCACCCCCATGACCTCTGTAGGATTCCCTCAATCCAGCCAGGTTAGGGGTGGACCCACGGGCGTCTGTCCTGATAGACATTCCTGAGTTTTGGTAACGCTCTGCTGGCTCCTCTCACCCAGCTCCTGAGAGTCTTTCATTGCAGAAGTGAGCTGCGGCTCAGCCTGCTTTACAACGCTGTAACCACAGACGCAGTGACCAATGTTCGCTGTTAGTTGTGGAGAAGTCAATTCATGAGTAGGATCGTAGGACTAATATTAAAAGCAAATAATTAGGAAAGAGCCAACAATTTGGTTTTCCAAAGCCATAGAAAAGTATAGAACTACTTATATATTTTTCCCAAAACAAAAGATGTTTTGCTAAATTTTTAGAACTAAAAAGCAATAATGTACATAATATATAATATAATATAATATAACATAATATAATATATGTTATGGTTTGGGTTTTTGGAAGGTGTACAGTATAGTACAGGGCATGTTTTACAATAGCATTTTATAATGAATCGCCCAAGAAGCACATACTACAGGTGCAGGAAATCTATCCACTCGCTAAATACTAAAGCACCCAGCTGAGAGCTGCAGCTCATAGCAGTGCCTCCCACCAGCCCACCTGGAGGCCCAGAGCCCACAACAAAGTGTCATGCAGGCCTGCTTCCTGGATCCGAGCTGGAAAGGCCAAAGATCAGTGGTGGAAGCTAAAAAGTTTGTGCCAGTGGGATGAAAGGTCTGTGCCAGCAGGCTGAGGGATCTGAACAGGGGCCAGGAAGCAACACTCAGGGTAAGCACCAGAGCTCCCCAAAGGTACCACAGCCGTCCTCAGCAACAGTGAGGTCCTGAGCTCCTCCAACGATGAGGAAAGCCGAGTTCCCATCAGGAAAGCCAATGCCACAGGCTTATCCTTGAGGCTGGGCAGGGCACCATCTTCCCCTCCGGAGCGAGGAAGCGATGCTCAAGATGAGGACCAGAGCTCCCCCAAAGTTCACCGGGAAAACCAGCATGACAAGGTCCCCCAAGCAGAACAGCCCAAGAGCACTAGCAGCTTCCAACAGCTCCAACAGCTTCTCCAAACAGCACCCCTAACAGCGTTTTGGGGATGCTGCTGTTTGTGCCGCTGGCAGCGGTCCTCACGTGGGCTTCCCGCTCTCAACACCAGGCTAGCTTAATTCAGCTGGGTGTAATAAGTTGACCATGTATTAGAAACCCACTACAATATGATATTTGATTAAATTCATATCTGATCTCACCTGAACAGTAAAGCCCGAGCAAGAATATAACTTCTACTGTTATATTCTAGACAAGAGCTGGTTCAGAACACCATTTTAAAACATTGACACTTTTGTTTTATGAAGCATTTAGCAAGTTCAAATTAATTTTAAGAAATGAAAATAATTTAGATGTAAATCTGGGTACATAGTAAATCAAGCGCAAAACCTCAAACAGCCCCACGTGACACCTGTGCCTCTTACGACGACAGTCAGAGGTGCAGTGAAAGCCGCAAGCGTTGGCACCTTGTCACTCATTCCCCCACCCCCATACACACAGGGACCCCCAGCGCTGCTAGGGCTTCAGCACCCACAGGGCAGGCTGGGAGGGCCACGCAGCGTCTGCATGCGCGCGTCACTGTCCGCACGGTGCCCCCAGTGCTCTCGTGACGACCCAGCGCTCAGTGCATCCCCAGGATCATGCCTCTTCCAGTCTCAGCTTTCTCACCTTGAGCACGTTTTCTGCCTCCCCAAACTTCTTTCCGCCCCCGAAAATCTACACGGTGTCTGCCCGCCAGGCTGCTGTGAAGATGAAGTGAGAGCGTTTGTACAACTGCGTATTGAGCACCGCCTCTAGCACGTGTAAGTGAGGGCTTGTTAAGCGTGAGCCACTAGGAGAGGCACACGGGCACACAACTTCAAAGACTGGCAGGTATCCTTCAGTGCATCTATTCTTTAAAAAAAAATATTTATTTAGTACAGAGTGTTGCTACGCAGCTGGGACTCCTAGTGATCCTCCTGTTTTCGCCTCCCCAGCGCTGGGATTACAGGCGTTCACCACCCCATCCGGACTCGGTCACTGGCTCAGTGTGCCCAGAGGTGGGGCCAGCAGGGCCTCTGGTGCCCGGGATCGAACCCCAGTCCCTGCGCTTGCCTAAGTAGGCGCTTAGTCCACTGAGACATCTTGCCCGCCCTTGCCATGCATCTATTGTTGACTTGTTTTTAAAGATTGCTCTAATTTAAGAGCTGCCAGCTTTAAGTAAGGTCTCTGCAAAGCTACATTTTGGAAAACTTCAACCGAATTTCTATCAATGAATGGCGTTCTTTTCAACATAATTTACTGATCAAGTATGGCTTCACTGTGCAGCCTTCATAGGAAATGCAGGTTACTCATGTGCTGTGGTTTCTTACTGTGAAGAAAAACAGAAAATAGAACCCCTATAATTACCTTTCATTCATAATACAGTATTTCCAAAATCTCTAGAGTATCCATGTAAACAAGTTGTTAACACACCTCTCTGGTAGGCACATCAGAGATATTTCTCAATCTAAGAATATGGGAAAAACTTTAAATCTCTCTTCTGTAAGATAGTTTATAAGAAATTGTCCACTTTGATAATATGTTATGAGACCTTATGCTATTGTATTAGGAGAACCAATTATTAATTGACTACTTTTTCAAACTCAAAAAGCTTGTATTTGTTCTGGAAGGCTTGTATTTGTCCTAGCCTAATACAATAAAACAATCAAGGGCTGGTGCGGTACCTCAGCTGACTAAGCATCAGCTTAGGCAAGCACAGAGACCAGGGTTCAAGCCCCAGCACTGCAGGCCACACCAGCCCCACCCCCAGGCAAGTTCAGTTGCCCACAGAATCCGGGCATGGTGGCACATGCCTGTAATCTCAGATCTGGGTATGCTGAAAACAGGAGGATCACTACATATCTGAGCTGCATAGTGAGACCCTCTTCTAAATACATAAATTTTTAAAAAGAATAAATAAATCAATAAAAACTTTCTTTCCTGTTTTCTCTTCCTGATATTTGTATTAGTTTAATCTACCCTAATGTCTGACACCATGAGATTTTTAACTGAGGTTTTGATTTTTGCCCCTGACATGTGATCTAAAACCATGGCAAAAAGGTGCCCAGGAACTTGACTGACCAATCTGAAATAAATAGTCATCTGCATGTCCTTAAACAATCCTTTAAATTAAAATCTTTTTCTGAATGTGTCTAAAATGACTCAAAGAGTACTCAGATCCACAAGCTCCTCGTATTTACTGGTTTGCATTTTTCTTTGCTAGACGATCACCTATGTGCAATCAACCATCCATCAACAAAGCCACCATCACAGGTAAGAGAGAGCTGGATGCTTACTCTTCTCCGGTCTAGCCAGTGCCCATATCCTCGAAGAGCCAACGTCATGCTACCCCCAGCCTACGCTGCAAAGCTAAAGTCTTGAAGAAATGATTTTTTTTCTCTCTCCATTATTGTTACTATTGTTGATGATGCTGGTTATCCATTTAAACTATTCCTTGGGGAATCTTTGCTGATTTTCTGTGTTTGTAACCATTTCACTTTGTGTTCAGAGTCAGTTTAGGTATGTGCTGGCATGTGCATTTTGAGAGGTAGAACTACCTTTAGAATGTCTGTCACTTTAAATCTGCATTTGGTTGTCAGCATGGTCTTAATATAATTTTTAGTGTATTGAAAGTGAAAGCATAAACTGAAAGCCTAAGTTTTGTTTAATGTCCTAGTTGTGTGTGAGAAGGGACCTGTCTCTATTCCAGTGGTCCTGGTTGGGACTGAGAGAGGAGAAGTTACATTTGTGAGGGGAAGGAAAAAATTCTTATAATGCAGAAACATTCAATGGACTCAAAGGAAGAGATGCATAGATGTTTGGGGAAAATGTGGAAGGCGGGATGAGAGGGGACAGGACATACAAGCAAAAGTATCCAAGTTCCCATTAGTCTGTTTTACACAGAAGGCTTGGCCCCCAACTGCACCAAAAGCAAAATGATCTCATTTTACTGAGTCTGAAATTGAATTCAATTTGATAATTTCTTAAAACCACAGACTTCCAAAATTACAAACTGGAAGAAAATGAGCATATCATCCAAACTAGACCAATACTTCTTTTGATTCAACTGTCTTTCTTGGACCCCAACCCATAACAGGCTGAGGGACTCTTACCAAGTTTTCAGCGAGTGAACTGCGCTTGAAGTTTTACTTTGTCATGTCCAGTCAAATGGTTGCGATTGTGGTCATCATCTATGATCTGGTTCTGAAGCAGTTGTTAACGTTGTCGTGTTTTCCAAAAGCCCATCAAATGTAATTTGTGTGGAAACAACTATTTAATTATTGGCTCCCTTCTCCACGTTTGCTTTTCAGGTTCTTGTGGGTCACACTTCCCAGTGTACATATCGTCAACCAGTGTTGTCCTTAATGTTGATCAAAAGAGCAACAGCAAAAATTCATATATACCTAATAAATATTCAAGTAACAAATATCTTCTTTAAAAACTCAAACTCAATATAAATGATCCTAAAGATGGAGGTTGGAACCGAACCTGTCACTTCTATGCATTTTCCTGTGTCTGTTGGGAAGTGAACAGTTTCATTTTGGGGTGTGCATACCCAGGGCATCTAGTAACAGAAGGGCTGCTCCAGACTTTCAGGGTGTTCCTCTGAAAAGCAGTTACACTTCTCCCTCCTACCCACTTGCGCAATAAGAGATTGACTTTGTGGTTTAAGCAGAACACAGTGCTGGTTTGGTTTCTGACAGCTTTTTTAAGCTCAAAAGACCATAGGTCATACATGAACCTTCCCAGGTGAGGCAGCATCCTTCTAGAACAACTGTCATTGGCAGTGAAAATTGTGTCCAACAGAGATGACTGAGTGTTGCGGGAGAGCAGCTACACTCGGAGGATATAGACTTGGTCGTACCTACTTGGAAGAAAACCAGTGGAAACCTCTAGATATTTTTATACAATAGTGAGGCCCTGGGGCCATGCCTGGAGAGGGAACTAAGAGCCACTGAGCCCGGCAATTCAGGTTAGTGTTTCACCCATTCAGCCCTGACCATTCAGCCTACAGTGGAGCTGCAGAGGTATCTTATCTAAGAAGAAAAACAAGTAATAGCAATGGTCAGTAACTACTTAGAGCAATTGGGATTATGAAAAAGTCTGACAAGAAATTGCCTGACTTTCTACTTTTTCTTGCCTTAGCATTGCAAACCAAGGTGGGAACCCGGAAACAAGGATAATGAGAGGGAAAGCACTTTCTCTGAGCTCATGCTGAAAAAGAGAACTCTTAAATCCTAAGTAGTAATAATATGAATAGTGGTTGTTGAGACCTTGATGACAGTAGAACCTGAGACGCCCAGGTAGTTGGAGGTTCCCTTTGAGCTCGTGGCCTTTGCTGTTAGAACCTAGCAGTACCTCTGTATTATGCCTGCGAAAGCAGAGAGGAGCTGTAAAGAGCCACCGAAGCTCCCTTTGGGTGCATAAGAAATGTAGTGCAAGCCCTGAAGGAGAAGGACAGCTCAGCAGTGGTGGTCGCGTCTGAGCCAGGAGGCTGTGTGGGTGCGGTGAGCAGCTCAAGGCAACCTGAAGGGTTTCTTTCTTTCTTTTTTTTTTAATCTTTATTTATTTATTTATTTATTTAGTGTGTGTGTGTGTGTGTGTGTGTGGCCAGCTCAGCCCACCAGGGGGCGGGGCTGGGTGGCATGTGGTGCTGGGGGATTGAACCGTGGTCCCTGTGCTTTGCTTAGCCTAGCTTGTTCTAAGTAGGTGCTTTAGACCACTGAGCCATCTCACCAGCCCCAACCTGAAGGGTTTCATAGCGTGCCGCTCACATGGCACACCAAAAATGAAGTGTTGGGGGTTCTGTATCTGTCTGCAACTCAAATCCAGGATGATGTGGCCATGGGCAATCACATCCCTTTGTTTACCTCTGTTTTCCCAACCTCACACAGTGATTGCTAGGTTGAGTAAGTTGGCCTGGGCATGCTTTTGTGCGTGGTGTGCTGCAGAGTGATCAGGGAGTCTTTTCCATTTTATCTAACTGTTTTGTTTCTAGGGCCTGCTCTATGCATATGCAGAACTAGTGGGGTCAGTGTCATGCAAAACACCAGAGACTGGTCTCCATAATGTAGAAAGCACAGACATTTCTTTCTTATAGTGCTCCAACCTGAATGGCTGAGTTCAAGGTGCCACCGTGACAAGGTTTGGTGAGGTCCCTTTGCCAAGATGGAAAGAGAACAAGAGATTAGATCCAGGACTAAGGTCATTTGGCCCAGGTGCAAGGCCTGAGCTCTCGTGACCTGACTCTCTTCTGAAGGCCTCATCTTCTATTACAGCCACATCAGGGTGTGAGATTTCATATTAACTCTTCTGCTGCTGCTTCTGCATCTGCTTCTGCCTCCTCTTCCTCCTCCTCTTTCTCCTCTTCTTTCTCCTCCTCTTCTTCTTCCTCTTCCACCTTCTCCTTCTCCCTCCTCTTTCTCCCTCTCTCCCTTTCCTCCCCTTCCTCTTCTTCCTCCCCTTCCTCCTTTTCCTCTTCTTCCTCCTCCTCCTCCTAGCAGGAATTGACTCAAGACCTTGCACTTGACAGGCAAACACTTGTGCCACTGAGCTATCTCCCTGGTCCTATGGCTTAACATTCAGTGGGAATCTTAGGGGCACACACAGTCAGCCCTTAACAAGGGAGGTAGAAATCACAGGCCAAAACGGTGAGAGAAGGAAGGGAGAGAGAGAGGCAGGAAGGCAGCGAGGAGGGAGAATTGAAAAAGGACACATTTTCAGGATTGTCAGAGTAAAATACTGCATCCTCAACATGGTTTAAATGGACATATTTGCTTTGTGTCTTGGAAATGGGCACTGCTGTCGTCTGAGCTCTGTGTCCTGTTTTATCACTGTTCGAGGTGCCAAGGAATTTGTGATTTAAGGATAGACTATGCTTCATTTTTTTTTTTTTTCTGTATCAGGGATTGAACTTGGGACCTTGCACATGCCAGTCAGGTGCTTATGCCACTTTGCTATCTCCCTGCCCCTCTTCATATCTTTACCAAGTTTAAGAACTTGCTTCTGGGTCATAATTTCTGAAGAAAATTAACTCTTTGCTTCGAATCCAACTCTTCAATTATAGAAAAGTAGAGTTCAGAACTTTAGTTCCATGCGGATGTCGTGCTCTCTAAGGATTCCCTTACACCTTGACCCCTTTGAGGCTTGAAAAGCATGAAAGCCAGGAAAGTTGGATTTCATACCATTAAAGTTAAAACACTAGAATTAACTGCCTGCCAGTTTTTAATCTCCATTTACCAGAGGTAAACATAAGTCTTAAATTATATGCCAGTTCTTTTAGAATGAGTCTTCTAAAAGAGACTTATGCCACATACCTCTTTGTCCTTCAGTGGGATGCAACAAAAGACAACATTTGGAGCCCGAGTACAATTGCTGTCTCTCTTGTGGTTCTTCTAATTTCTCTTAGACAGTGGAGAAACAAGTGCAGCTCTGACCTCTTGGACTGCGCATGAGACCGAGGAGCTGGGTTCTATGTAAAGAAGAGGGCCCAGTGGGCCTCATGCTCAATATTTTTTGTTCCTAAAGCCAATTTTAAAACCAGAAGATGATAGCGTGACGGTTTTGCTGCTAGCTTTCCTGTCTGATTTCATTTTGCACACAGTAACCCCAGGACAGCTTTAGTTACCTGCTTGCTAGGAAAGCGCACCTGCAGGTTCTGTGTGTTGGCACCAAAGAGCGCGAGAGACAGGAGAGGGCAGCAGAGTCCGGGTGCCGAGGCAGGCCTGCTGACGTGGGGACGCTGGGCTTTGTGTGGAGCCCTGCATGTGTGTGGTGCTGTAGGTGCTTTCACCTAGGGACAGTGTTCAGAGGAGCGCGGTGCACCTGCCTCGTAAAATCGTATCGTGTAGGGCTGGTGAGATGGCTCAGTGGTCTAAAGCACCTACTTAGAACAAGCTTAGCAAGCACAGGGACTACGGTTCAATCCCCCAGCACCACATGCCAGCCAGCCCCGCCCCCTGGTGGGCTGAGCTGGCCACACACACACACACAAAATAAATAAATAACATAAATAAATAAATAAATAAATAAATAAATAAATAAATAAATTAAAAAAAAAAAGAGTCGCTGCACTAAAAAAAAAAAAATCGTATCATGTCTTCTTAATCTCGCCTTCAGGGCACATCTAAAGTTCTACATGTTCATTCTCTTTATTATAATCATCCTCAACTTGAGGGCTTCCACACAGGAATGTGAGTCAGCTTACAGTCCTCTGTCTGAAAGATAAGAAAGCCAAGACTTATGACAGAAACTGCTATGTAGCGCCATAATCA